CATGCTACGCTGTTCGAGTATAAAGGTCAACAACATCATGCCGGGATGACCTTGGTTACTATGGGGCGATTTCTGGATCCTTGCGTTACAGCATTAGATTCTCTCACGCTCCAGTAACTGGACACGGAAAGAATGTGGAAAATCTGCTGACATCGAAGACACGTATTTCCGTTTACTAAGCATAATAAGTATTAACTACAGCAAACAAATGTTTTCATGCGAACACTTATTGACGCAATATTTGCCTTGTGTCTGGGTTGAACCGGTTGTGAAGGTCAGAGCAGTAACCCACCACGTAGCAGAGAAAATGATGGCGAATGAACAACGGGCAACGAACCAACCGAAGTGGAAACGAGACGAAACACGTGGGCCACGTCACACCCTCGCGTCGTCCCAATAGTTGTTTCCAACAAAATAAGTTATCAACATGTGATACACATTTTAATAAAATTATGATGAAGTTCCCTCTGAAGGGAAGAAGTAGCGATTCAACAACACATTTTTTTTCCCAGTTTGCAAAATCAGGTACTGAACAAAAGCGACGAACTGAATCGACAAACAAGGTAAAACAAGTGACTCAAATGTCTCTGTGCATGAAGTCATGTGTGACACATAACTCACGTAGCACAAGGTCTGTGTCATCGACAAGTTATTACCACAAGTTCCACATACAACATTTTTCAAACGATAAGCCTATTTCTGGCTGAATAACGACAATACACTCTAACTATCTGATTCGGCGTATAGGAATTTTCCGTTATACTTATGGTTTTTGAATTTAAAACATATTATTCCAGTAAGAGGTACAAAAGAATGTCATATTCCAATCCTCATGTCGGTAAAACAGAATTCGTTTTGAAGCTACGTCAGAAAATTAAAAAAATATATATATATATATTCATACGCGAGAAACACAGGTAACATTTATGTAAAGTACGACACAAATTCATTTTAATGAACAGAGACGAATATACTTTCCAAATGGCACTGTTCTGTCGGCTCAGAAACATTCAAACGCACAACTGTCATGCGTCCGCCTTTATTTTCAAATACGAGGAACAAGAAATCCATTCCCATGACGTCAAATGGGATTTCAATTAAGATTCCGTTAGGCGAGCAACGACTGATCTATAAAACAGGCAAATAAAACAAATGTGAAGCTGTGGGCGTTAAAAACTCATGAATCTCGTTCTTTCTCGCTACAGGTTATTAAACTTCGTCCATTGGAGCCAACTGTTGCTTACTACGAGGTGTGATAATTAAATAACGGGACTGATCTTTCTGTGCGACAACTAGCGACACCGATGTGCTTGCGGGTGTTGATTGCAACTCTAAAACAGTTGGCATCCACTATGTTTCGGATTTGCAGTACGTGTATTAATGACGCAGCGTTTTTATATAGAATGAGGGCAGACATTTCTTCGACAAGTGAATTTTACGTCATGTCAATTCGCTTTCTCACATAGCACATTCATTAACGCGAATTTTGACCAAAAGAATAACATCCAGTTTTTAAATACCGAATGCATTCCGTGTAAGTTTTTCATGAAACCAAAACTCAAAATCCGCTTGAAAATGTTTAATTTTTGATAACATTAGGACATTCAGAACAATGTGACGACCCCATGATAATAATTTCCAAAGTTACCACGCCACGAAAGA